TTAAATTCTAAGAGAATGAAAAAATAAAGAAATATATACTAGAAACGTTGATTTGTCATGATTCATTTTCTTTTTATTTCATCACGCGATGAACAATGATTTGAGTTGGTTGCGTTTCAGCAGAATTTAATGTCGACTAATATGTAACCATTTCCTCAAAATGTTTTGTATAGTTTACAGCCTATTGTAATTTTCTGAGGAGTTGGCTATCCCGCAGATTACTTGATGCGGCAGCAAGTCCCAGGTTACCATGTCGTTGAAATACAACCCAAGTAACAGTATATCAAATTTCAGATCAATCGGACCTGTGGATTTTAGTGAAATCAATTCATCACCTGTGAAGGAAGTGAGCTGATGATCTTCAAAATTTATAGCTGAGAACCATCTCGATCACATCGGCTTTCAAACAAAAAAATCCGCATCGAAATTGGTCGATCCATTCGGGAGCTATGATGCCACAGACAGACAGTCAGATACACAGGTTAAACTTTTAACTCGTTTTCCGCCGGGATTTAAAAAAGTGCGCAGTTATTTGAAGTACTAGCATTCAACAACGAAACCATTCTCAAGTTCGTCTGAGGACTACTCACAGGGTCCTTTTACAAAATCCACGCAATACTAAAAGAACCAAAGAGTACCCACACCACTGAACATCTAACATATATCATAATCGATTGTCAAACAAACTCAATTTCTACCAATATTACCATTTCAATCATTCAACGGCCAAGTCCCTTAGAAATAAATAAATATGACCAAACAGGCCGTAATATATTTACGAAGGGACATAAAGGTTTGAGTCTGTAAATAATTCGATAAGAAGGGTTCGAATAACCGTGGTCATGTTCGTGGCAGCCATTTTGTGTTCGAGTATCACGGATCTTTGAATGGCTTTATTTGACTTTAGGTAACTTGTTTGGACAATTTTAGTTGCGAAGTTAAGGATATATTTAGAAGATATAGATTATAAGTAACATTCAGATGTTCTTTGATATTCATAGCTTAGCTTGAAGTTTTTTATTGCGCTAATAGTCCATAGTCCACGATGACATATCTTGGTACTTAATACTTCTGTTTCAACTGAGACTACAATATTTCTACGTAAAACATAAAATTACTGGCAACCTTATAACCTATTCATAAATAACAATTCAAAGTTTTTATGTTGTGAGAAAATTCAATGACCATTACCAGTAGGCAGGAGTTCAAACCATTGTGATGAGAGGATTAGTCAGACTAGATGCGTTACCATGATACCTTTTAGGCATAAAAAATATATACACATATATTCTACCCCCAATAGTTAAAAAGGCGCATTTAACAACAAGTCTAAATGATTAGTGAAATTAGATGGCAGAAAGGATTGGTCAGATCCGGAAATCGAACCCGAGACCTCAGCACAGCAATCGCATACGCTACCACTGCGCCATCGAGGCAGTCCAAAGCTGTAAAGTACGTTTACTCAAAAAAATAATTACGCGTCCTCCGTCCTCCGTCTTCCATAAGCGCAGGCCTGGGGGTGACAGGTGAGGCCATTTGTCACCCCAGCAGAAGCAGGCTGCGAGCACAGAGGGAACATGGGGTTTCCCACACAGGGGGACTCTTGATACTAAACGAACCTTCCCCTACCTTCACTTTTTCTTATACTTTTTTCTTTTTATGCCTTAAAAAATTCTGGAGCATTTATTATTTTTGTCCTCTTCGACGCTGCCTTTCTTGTTGCTGCTCCAAAATTTCTTCATTTGTATGCTTGTTTACTTTTGCCATGCTATTGAAATATATGTGCTAGATTGCCAAGTCGAAATATGAAATGTAATAATAATAATATGGTGTTTAGTTATAAGTTAATTTATAATATTTAAGTTTTCATAAATTACAAAAGATATGCATGCTTAGAAATAACTACGATTTTTTAAATTCTAAATCTGTTATTACATAGTACAAAACCTATATACAAAACCCATAACCTACATATTTTCATAAAAATTATGAACTGTTTTTTTATATTCTTTCTCTACTCACTTAATTTTTTTCATGATAATTGAAAAATACTACTTCTTTAACTTTATTTTTCTACACATTAATAGATTTTGTACATTCTAATTCTCGACCCCTACTATCGTGATGAAAATTAGGTGACGTAAATAAATATACCGTAATAATAAAAATACCGTAAACCCTACATATTATTGACTCATACTTAAATGTTACGTGAAATGTAAATTTTGTCAATAGCTTAATGCATTAGAAAAAAAAGTTAAGCAGACAAACGCAAATTAGAGTCGGGGTGAGCCACACGAATTAAAACTAGGTACTTACCTTCGTAGTTTACCAGCGGGACAATTTGCACGTCAAGTGTTCTCTGCTCGATACCCGCGGCACAGCTGGGATGTAAAAAACCTCTATTTTGAAAGCCTTGACGAAAATTATTCGTGATGATAGGACACATTCTTCGTAAATACCCATTGGAAATTGTTGTTATGTTTTTAAACATTAATAATAATATATGAACTCCAATTAAGTATAATTCTTCATTTTAAAACTTTCGCTCGTTTAAATATTGATTCTGGGGAAAGGGCAGCAAATGAAAATGACTTTTGAAAAAATATTGACTAATGATTATGGTCCCACAGGCATTTACGTATCGTGCCTAGATGGTTAAGTATTAGAATTAATTTAAAAAAATAAGGAGTCCTGAAGGCAGGAGTGTAACGAAATATTCACCATTACATTCAAAAACTGGGCCCAATGAGTATGACCGATTTTATTGACACGAATCTTCACTTTACTACGAAAATATCTTTTATGATATTTGTGAGATCGAGATCAGATCGGCACTGAATTTTGATCGAATTTTTATTACGAAGACGTTGCACTGTATGAGTTGTACATAATTGATTATGGAACTCAAAAGTTTAAAAGTTAGTGTAGAAGTATCAATATGTAGAGTAATTACGTCTTAAAGAGATAAGAAAGCAGCTGATTCTGCAAAATGGAAAGCCTTGGACTAATTAATTGTACCCATTACCCGTGCTCTATAGAAGGGCATACATAGATATCACTAGAAGTCCAGGGCTGCCTCCAGCCAATCAATACAAATATGAAACTATTGGTAAAACATATTTTACTTCTGGATCTTTTCTTTATTCATTCATATTTTATATCAAAATTGACAACCTTAAATAAGGCTTCAGATATTTTTTGTTAAATGAGAATTTAAATAAACAGTAGTTTGATCGGTATCAATATTATTAAGCTCTAAAACCTCCTTTCTAAAGAGAGGCCTATGTCTAGCAGTGGACTATTAAAGGTTTTTCATGTGATGATGTAAATATTATATAGCTAAAAACTTGGTTTGGTTGAATACGCGAATCGCAGGAACTACTAGTTCGAATTGCAAAATTATTTTAGTGTTCAATAGGTCATTTATCGAGGAAGGCTATGAGTTATATCCTATTAATCCTAAAATCCCAACAAGAAGCGGAGCACCAACAATTTTATTTCAAAAACGGAGCAAATTTATTCCTTTTGACAGACGAAGTTGCACGGCTTAGCTAATATGTAATACTGAACTTTTTACAAAACAAAACTAATGGAATAATGATCTAGAACACAACTGACATATAAAACACAACTAATTTACAAATATTTAGATAAACTTATCAATGGAACCGCAATCTATGTGTTCCACCATCTTACGCGCCACGCTCGATCATGTCTCGGTGTTTTGCGATATTCGTCGCCATCCAATTTCCTGCCGAGGCACCAAACCCTCTCTTCCCTCCTAGTAGGCAATCCTCCAAAAGAATATTGGATGCTTTTACGATCCTCCCCGGACACAGTTATTTTGATTAAAATATTATTTATAAATATTCGATTTTGAAAGAAGTTGCTGAAAAAATGTGATAAGTGACATTTGAAAGTTTTTTTTTTATCTCATAGGGGGTGAACAGGTTTCTCTGATGGTAAGTGACTACCTACATCCAAGGACATCTGTAAATCAAAAGAAGAGAAGGGAATTGATTCTCCTCTCCAGAATTAAGCAGGTTGGTTTTTGGAATGAAGTTCCTTATTGCGCGTTACACGCTCTGAGCGGATGGGAGCGACACCGAAAAATGTATAACAAGACTTTTTTCCGACACTTCTTGTGAAACGACCGCGGTCCATAGACCCCTCGCGTCATTTTTCTCTCGTGACTCTCTAGCTGAACTGCAACCAAAAAAAATCGGTTGTCTGTAAAGTCGGTTTACTGACGATAGCATTTTTCAAAAATGTATTATTGTATACGAGTAGCAGCTGTCCACGCGGACGCATCGCTCACTCAAGTAGGAGAGAGACAGATGTCGAACGCTGCCGAACGCGGAGGCGCTCCGCGCTCTCGCTTGCACTTCACGCCTTAAATGGAACGCCTCAGAGCGAGGTAACGCCGCATGAGTCATGTTTTATCGTGCGTGCAGCCGGCTCCATCGAATTATAAGACGTTGTCACGTCAAAATTACCTATAACAGATATTCTGATACGATAATTAATTGTAACTCTTAACCACTTTGCTAATTATTATAAGTCGCAAATTATAACAAAGGAATTTGATCTACCTTCAACATATACCAAATAAAACGCAAAATTTAATTTCGAAAGTCAGGTAACAGATTAAACAAAACCACTTTGAAACTCCAAAGTTGTATCTCAAACGAACTTTTACTAAGAATAGAAAGGAATCTGAACAATCTGAGCCAAAGGGCAGGTAGTAATAAAACAGGCTGTAGTGCCGAGCCTTTAAGTTTACCAGACTGCTAACTTCACCCTGTACCCAGCAACTTTGAACCGTACTTGTAGCAAATAACATTCCAACTAATTAGCATTGTTCGGCCGGAGGAACAATTTAGCGGTCAGGATTTCAGTAAAGTTTTAGTCTTGATGAATCGAATTTCAACTAGTATGTTAATAAATATCATATATCCGGAGCATTTTGTAAACTTATGTTGTATTAGTTTAGTAAAATGTTCGGAAATGGGCTGATGCTAAGAAACTACAGGAGGTACATCTTCCTTGTGATGTGAATGTAGCAAGGTCTATTTCGATCAGTTTCTGTATTATTTGTTTTAATTATACGATTGATGTCATGTATACCTATGTTAAAAATTTAAAACTGAGTTTGGTTTGTTACGCTATTACTCTTAAACTACTAAACCAATTTTAAAATTTATTTCATCAATGGAAAGCTGATGGAAGTCCGTGTGGTGACGGATTAAGAATACAAATTGTCACCACCCCAATTCATCCCATGGGTGTCGTAAGAGCCGACTAAGGGAGCAAACTAAGCAGGACAACAGCACTGCAAAGAGAAGGAAAACTTGAAACAAACCCTATACCAACCCGTCTGGCCAGCGTGGTATAGTAGGCCAAAACCTCCTTTCTAAGGAGAGGCCTATGTCCAACAATGGACTAGTATAGGCTGTTGATGTGAATGGAAAGCTACATTATTAGCGAGTAACATAAGCTACTTTTTACCGCGACAACCAACGTACACGCGGGCGGAGGCGCGGGCAAATCTGGTAAATAATATTTCAACCAGATAAAAGGCGTGGCAAATTAAACGAAATTTTAAATTTAAACGAACGTAAGAGTTTTCGAAATTACATTTTATTTTATTTATTTCAGGTAATAATTTGGTGATAAGGTATTTGTACTCGTAATGCGATTATACGCAATTACAAGTACGTAAGTATTTCTACGGCATCCACACAACGCCATCTAGTCCCAAACTAAGCAGAGCTTGTACTATGGCTACTAGACAACTGATATAAATACATATATACTTTTTTTTTGTAAAAACATACCTCATCATCATCAACAGCCTTTACTAGTCCACTGCTGGACATAGGGATCTCCTTAGAAAGGAGGTTTTGGCCTACTATACCACGCTGGCCAGACGGGTTGGTATAGGCTTTGTTTCAAGTTTTCCTTCTCTTACCTACCTACATAAACACCTAAACACACAAACTACCTAAAACATACCTACATAGAAACACCCAGACCAAATCAAACATTAAATGTTCATGCCCACAAATGTTTGACTTGAGCAAGAATCGTAACCCACGACCTGTGGAATAGCAGTCCGTTACACAAACCACTACGCCATCCGGTCGTCAAATTGTATGATGAGCATGATAGTTTGAAGGAGTATATTTTATCTTTAATATGTTGTTTTGTTTAATATGCAGCTTGACACATATGGCTGTCTGATCCGAAACTATGCAGATCCTGTACTGTGGTAACCAGACTGCTGATGAACATCATCACATCACACATCAACAGCCTTTAATAGTCCACTGCTGGACATAGGCCTCTCCTTAGAAAGGAGGTTTTGGCCTACTATACCAGGCTGGCCAGACGGGTTGGTATAGGGTTTGTGTCAAGTTTTCCTTCTTTTTGCAGTGCTGGTGTCCTGCGTTGTTTGCCGACTAAGAGCCGCTTACGACACCCACGGGATGAATTGATGTAGGGACATACCATATTCTTAATCCGTCACATGAACATACTTATTTATTTTTAGGTATAGGTTCCAAAAAAATAGCCAATCGTTTAGATTATAAGCTTGGTTTATGGACCTTATTTTCATAGTTCGTAATATTTTTACTTACATGTATATAATATAAATAACTATAAATGATGTGTACACAAATTAGTTATTTGCTTATTCTAAATACTTTCAAAACTAAGGTATTCCAAGATTTCATAAATACCCTGCGTGTTTGCTTATTAAGCAAATTTGGCGCAAAAAGACACTTTTTCACTTGCATGATACTGCTTTTTTACAAATTTTGTGACCCCACAAAAAAAATAAGAGTCGTATGACAAGGAAGTTTTGACAGTCATGAGCTATCTTGAAATGGACGAGGTTATGAACTCTTATCTATATCAGTGAAGAGAAGTCTGGTCGTGGCGTATTTATGACATAATACATAAGGCACTCGATAGACACGTTCATAGTTTGGGCATTCTCTCCCACATCGATTGCTCGTCACACACACCATAAACATTTATTATTGTTTTATTACAACAAAAGTGTCACAATGTTTTTATATCTTATTGGTACGGTACTATTTTTTCTTTGTCTATGTTTGTATCTAAAATGGTATAACGTGAAAAACTATTGGAACAGGAGAGGGATTCCTCATTACCCCCCACATCCGATCTTGGGAAGTCTAACATTTCTGCAGCGGCAGAATCCTGTGAGTATTTTTTTAGATTTTACATATAACTTACATACTACACATTCTTTCGGAGAGAAAATTTAAACAATGTGTTTGGTGATATACATTTTTTAGATGAGATGCATTTAATAATTTATTATAATGACATTAATAGTAAATAATAAAGAGTAAAATTTCTATAGACGGGTTCTGTTTATTTTAGAACATTTAAAATGTATTTAATATTGGTATTTAATACATTTTTTTAAGGTAAGTATCTAATTGTATAGACAACATATTTTTTAAAATGTAATATTGAAAGATTTACAATTTTTCATTGAATTATACCGAGCATGGTCACGTATGAGATTTCCTCGCGTAATTCCATCAGAACGTGGGGTGATCAAAAAGTTTTTACAACTCGAATTAAGAGGCGTTTTTCACGAGACCAAAATAATCTGAATTGTCGAAATAACCCTCTGTCGTTGTTGAAACTGTACGCTTTAAAAAAAAACATAAAAAACGGAAGAGAATTTCCATTGGATTTTTTACCTCAAAGTTCCGTCATAGGCACTGATTTAAAAAAAATATATTTTATTTTGGACGGTATACTTCCCGTTTGGTGTAATTCAAACTTGAAAAAAATACCCGTAAGGGTAAAAATGATATTACTCGTATTATTATTATAATCCAACATGATATAGGCGGGTTGAAAGTCTATGATACTTTAAAAAAAGTAAATTACTAAAAAAACAATTAGCTAAATTGAAGAAAGCTTTATTTTTCAAATGCAAATATTTTAAATAAATGCTTGTTTAATATATATCCAGCCATAAACTGCGACAGTATGAATAGGGGTGGTGACATTTCGTATTCTTCTCTCTTCTTCTTCCGTCACCACACGGATTATAATAATTAAAATAATATAAAATATAAATATAAATAATATGAAAATGTGAGTCACTGAGGAACACAAAACGTTCCTTTAAGTAAGGTGGGGTAAATGGATTGAATAAGATACTATAAAGTATAGAAAGAATGTGTATTCCGTCGAAGTCGAATTGGGAGCCACTTGAGCAATTAACGAAATTGAGTCACATCATCATATTTGCGTAAATCAAATACAAATCTAATGCAGAAGTTTTGAAGGCGCTCAAGTTTATCAAGTTGCTTCTCAATGATATTGAGATAGCTGACATCAGTGTAATTGATAATAGGAAGCAGAGATTCAGCTAGTGCAATTTTAGTTGGTAAAAAGTTGCGAAGTCTTCGCAGTGAGCCCGCCGATGCAAACATTTTTCTACTAACTTCGCGTAATTGGGAGCCCCAGGTTAAAGAACCATCTATCAGAATTTCTAGGTTCTTAAAACAAGTACTGATCGAAAGTACAGCATCATTAAATTTGATGTGAGGGAATTCAGACCAGAGACAGATATGTACTATCTTTATATATATAAATATTTATATGTAAAAAGTACACACCTATCTTTAAATTATACGTATACGCACGAACGTACGTATGTAAAATTGAAATGTAATCGGTCAATTAGGATTATAGGTTGGGATTGAGGTGCTTACGCAATTGTTTTCGAGGCACTAAAATACGTTGAATCTATTAAATGAGCAAATCAATTGGATTCTGTGGTGTTTTAAAATCACTTTTCCGATCAAATATTGATCTTTATGCTTGAACATTAATTTCATTGTTTAGGTTCAAGATTAATAAAACAGTATTACCGAAGGTTTATCCAACCATAAACGTTGTTTTTACACTGCCATTATGTAAATATACTTGAACTTAAATTGGAAAAAGTCAAAGTATAATGCGAAATTTGTAACCCATATTATTGGTATTTTTTTAAATACTCTTAATGTGGGTAAAAATATATTTATTCTCTAACTGTTGTATTGTAATGAGGTAAATATTTAACTGATTATAACAGCTATTACATAGCTACTTACGCAACTTTGTCTTTTAATTCTTTTTATTTATTTAGCAGTCTCTGTTTCTTTTAAAAATTGTCTAATTATCAACGTCGGGTTATCAGTCAGACAAGGTCAAGACGACGTTGTATATAAATAACAAATATATATAAAGCGCCAAGTCATGTTACAGTTTCACAATAAGAAACAAATTAAAATTAAACATCTGATTCAAACCCAGGACAACTAATTGTGTGATAATGTGTAATGTGTGATGTGTAATTTATCTATAATATGTATGTATTTAGAAATATATATGTAAGTATGTTTGTCAGCTGTCTGGTTAGCATAGGTTCTGCTTAGTTTGGGAGCAGACCACCGCGTGAGAGATATATATATTTATATTGTACCACATTCACACAACGCCATCTAGTCCCAAACTAAGCAGAGCTTGTACTATGGTTACTAGACAACTGATATAAATACATATATACTTTTTTTTTGTAAATACATACATATTATACATAGAAACACCCAGACCAAATCAAACATTAAATGTTCAGGCACACAAATGTTTGACTTGAGCGGGAATCGAACCCGCGACCTTTGGAATAGCAGTCCGTTACAGAAACCACTACGCCATCCGGTCGATATGTTAATTCATTATTATTATAAATGTTTGTTATTATGCATTGTTATTAATAACCTAAGAATAATAACATACTATACAGGTACTATAATATGAAAAAGTTTATTATTAATCTTCAACTTTCCATTCCTTGGGCAATTTTATGTATATTTGAAGAAATCTTACAAAATGTTTTTTCAAACTTCTGAAATGATCTTGTAAGTCATTGATGATTATTGTGGCTATTATGTATTAACCTTGTATCTGTTTATTCCCCAGTCTATTTGGATGCGGCAACTATACAAAGACTTCAAAGCTCCATATGTGGGTATATGGTTATTCTGGCGACCAGGCTTGGTGATCAACAGCCCCGAAATAACGAGAAGGATTCTGGTCAAGGATTCGGAGAACTTCAGAAATCACTTTCTTAGTTCCGGGAAGACTGATCCTATAGGTTCTTTGAATTTGTTTACGGTTAATGTAAGTATTACTTTCAAACAAGCAGTATCATCTGAATCAACATAACGAATTAACTTAGATTTACCCATTGTCCTTGTGAAAGTAAGATCCGACATGTTTGGTCTATATAATGTAACATTCTATCTAATAAGTCTCACTCCTTGCAGTTCAGGATTCTGCAATATCCATCGTGTCCTTGATATGAAAGCGTTTCTTAAAATTAAAAAAGTATATGGATGGGTAGCTAAAATATAAACAACATGATTCATATATTGAAGATGTCGTCCAGTTTAAGCAATCTTCATGTTAATACTTGTTTTTTATCATTGAAATGCTTAGAGTTTCTGTAGTAGTTCCTGTTCCTGCAGGAGTACTACTTCTATGAGGGCTATATAAAATATAGGTGTCCAGTTATAGTTGAACCTGTTATGATACAGAAGGCTATACAACGGTAGTTCAAGACATTGCGCTATCATTAACCTCTAATTAATGGTCTATTGTAAAACATATATGGATAGGATTGATTTTGAATTATGTATGAACGTAAAAATTATGTATATTTCTTTTTTTAGGATCCAATCTGGACATCACTGAGACGTCGTTTAACAGGGGTATTCACGTCTGCCAAGTTGAAAATGCATAGTGGTATTGTACGAATAAAAACGAATGATCTATTAGAACGTATCAGAGACGAAACATCTAAAAATAATAATATACATCTTAGAGTGAGTATGGTGTTTTGACTTGAGACGTCTTTGATTCTGATGTCATCATCATCATCATCACCATCACCAACAGCCTTTAATCGATCATTGCTAGACATAGGCCTCTTATTAGAAAGGAGGCTTTGGCCTACTACACCATGCTGGCCAGACGGGTTGGTAAAAGGGTTGGTGTCAAGTTTTTCTTCTCTTTACATTATTGTTGTCCTGCGTACTATGTTCCCTTAGTCGGCCCTTACGACACCCACGGGATAAATAGGGTGGGGACACTCCATCTTCTATATCTGTCACCACACGAATAATTGATTCTGATTTATCCAAAGCTGATTGAATTGATTTTAAATTACATTTTTTATTTATTTATTTTTAACTTTTTGCACAAGTACATGCATCGGCGGACTTAATGCCTAAGGCATTCTCTGCCAGTCGACCGATTGGGCGGTGCTGAGAAAGAATGAGGTAGGTGCATTTATGGTAGGGTAATTAACGATAGTGGTTTTGTTAAATACCAACTATCTTGGAATTTGGTGTATACGTCGTAATACACATATATATACATATACATACTCATTTTTAACGATATTAAAGTTTCTTAAAATTATTAAGTAAAGAAAAACGCGAACTCAAGCCAGGAATTTTGCAGGGCTTAATTTTAGGATCTGATTTTTTCTTGGCGGACAAGACGAGCCAAGCGAAGCGCAAGGGCACAATCGTCCTTGCCTTGGTTTGTCGTTTTTTAAATCGTCATAACTGGCGTTTGGATTATCCCAGATAAACAAAATGTCAACAGACAAAAACAACAACAACATTAGATTCATTAAACATATAAAGTTTCAATAGCATAGCTTTTATACTTTACATTACATTTTAATAAAATAAAATAAAACCGATTTCGTCACCGGGTCACTAATGATCATCAAAATTCTTAGGGTACTTCCTGAAGTTATAGAAATCTGAAATTTGGAATGTAAGCTAGTATTAGTACACAAACAACAAAAAAACATATAAAACTTGTAACTTTGCCCCTTACCCCTTTCACTAGAAGATGGAAGTTTGTATGTGACTTAGCAACTTACAAATAGAACTTAATTCCCACCAAAATCATTTTCATGTAAAATGTTGCCAAGCCTTGTCGTACAAGTTCGCACTGTCAAAATGTTTCCGGTGGCATTTATATGACTTATCGGCTCGCATTTTAGATCCTAGTATTGGCTGTTAAAATACCATTTTTATTACCGTTTTACTTACAATAAGAAATTGTTGTCAATGTATATATTATAATACTGTCTAATATTCTTGTATAGTAGGTCAAAACCTCCTTTCTAATGCCTTTAATGTCCAGCAATGGACTATTAAAGGCTGTTGATGTGTGATGTGATGTGAAACAAAATCTTAAAAAAAGTTAGTTTTTGTGTTCTGTCGTGTGGTATTTTCTTCTAAGAAAGACTAGACTACTAACTTTACGCAGCGGGCGTACAGCGCACTACGCGTCCAGTACAACAACGCTTTCAGGATGCTATTGAATCTGCCGAGGTTTTGTATCGTATCAAACATGTTCGCGGAGGCACATTGCGATTACTTTTATGCGATCATAAGGAAGCGTCAATGTCCAATCGACTGCTAGGCAGCACCAATGGCATCCTGAGAGTATTGTCAGAGAGGTGCGACCTTCCAGTCCTACAAAGGTGGATACGTCTACATGCTAGCGCATCCCCACGATATATTTTTTAATTTGTTTTGGTCTTAATGTAGAACTAACATAGTTATAAGATGATTGTTACTAACACATTTATAGACTAATGTCTGAAAATAAATTATTAGTAGGTATTATAATTATCCGTGTGGTGACGGATTAAGAATACAAATTGTCACCACCCCAATTCATCCCATGGGTGTCGTAAGAGCCGACTAAGGGAGCAAACTAAGCAGGACAACAGCACTGCAAAGAGAAGGAAAACTTGAAACAAACCCTATACCAACCCGTCTGGCCAGCATGGTATAGTAGGCCAAAACCTCCTTTCTAAGGAGAGGCCTATGTCCAGCAGTGGACTAGTATAGGCTGTTGATGATGATGATGATGATGATGATTATAATTATTTCATTCAACTTAAGATTTATAATTGTTGGATGTTCTTTTAGAAACTATTGTCAGACTTCACGGTTGATATCATAGGAGAATCAGCATTTGGTATTGTGAGTGAGTCGGTGAAGACTGGGAATAGTGTCATGAAGGAAATCGCCCAGGAATTTATGAATTTTGGTCTGCACAGAGGGCTTAGTTGGTCCAGCATATTCTTTTTTCCAGAATTAGTTGATGTATTTAGGTAAGTCAAAAATTTCTTTAGGTGACTTTATATTTTCATCTGAGTAAAGATGAAGACACCTAATCAACTCTATATTTTATTTTCCTTCGACAGATTCTCTTTTTTTCCAAAACACACAATAGAACGACTCCGTTTGATATGTCGCTCTGTCATAAATCAGAGAGGAGGATTCGAAAAAAAGATGAAAGAACCCAAAGACCTCTTAGACGCTTTGATTAAGATGAAACAAGAAGCTTCTGAAGAAGGAGAAGGTAAAGTGTTGCATATTCATCAAATAGTACTCAAAATTCAAGTTGAGTTTTAATCAAATCAATCGAGTCTTTCGCTTAATAATGGTCATGCTATAGGCTGTCAAGGAACGTCCGAGTAAATCGATAGTCACTGCGAAATTGAACTAAACATTTTCAATTGATGGAATACTTAGCTTATAATCTTTGTATTACAGAAATGAGTGAAGACTTCCTAGTTGCTCAAGCCTCAATTTTCCTAGTTGGAGGATTCGATACATCAGCATCCACTATGAGCTGGGTCATTTATCATCTAGCATGGCATCCAGAACATCAGGTACGAAAGAATCTACTTAAGAAAGTTCACCAATTAATCAAAACATATTTACGATCATCCATTGACCAAAGTAGGCCAAAACTTCTTTTCTAAGGAGAGGCCTATGTCCAGCAGTGGACTAGTAAAGGCTGTTGATGATGATTGATGATAGACCAAATTAAGCGAAGAATGATAATTTCAAAATAACGATATCATAAATGAGTTATGAGTATGTTTGGAGAAGTTAGCTAATGTTTCGCGGTCTTCAAGAACGCAATAAAGATGCTGATGGTTTGGTCAATGTTTCTTGTATCGTTTTTACAGCAAAGATTGTACGACGAAATCCTGAATCTCAAACAAAAGTATGAAGGTGAAGATTTAAGCCCCAGCGCTCTCTCAGAGCTTACGTACTACAATTGTGTCATAAAAGGTTAGATTCCAAATTTAAATTTTTACCTATTCATTTCTCTCATCATTCCTTTTTAAACTTCCTTTTTAAACGACTTCAAGAAACAGAGAAGGTAAGGTAAGGTAAGGTTCTTCTTTAATGCTTGATCGTTCGTTGTTTCTTTAATGTTTGATCTTCGCTCTGTTATTTATGAACCGATTTTGAAGATCCTTTTTTTGCTTTTCGTTTAATCCTATTCAAATTAAAAGAAAAATAAATAAGGGTAGAAAATTAAGAAATAAATTGAACATAATGTGGACTGAAAATAGTGAGACAATATTTTTCATGGGAACTTTTAGTTCTATGTATGCACATGTAACTAGTAATATGTGTACTTTAATGTTATTTTTGTGAACACTAAGTTAACATAAGCTTGTGTTGCGAGTAGTAATGGATTTAGGTCTATGATCTATAACGTGGAATCAGTATACTCTATTTGCAAGATCCACGATATCGCTACTTTTATTTATTCAAATAAATAAATTGACTTTAGTGACGAATAATAATTCTCTGAGATAACTATTTTGTGAATATCACTTTGTTTATTTTGATAACAAATAAATAGTGTTGCGTCATAGTATTGAGTGGATCTTGTGCTGTGTCTGGAGGACAGCGCCATCTAGTATCATGTGGGGCAACACGCTACACATTGAGATTATGCTTCTTGCTTGCTTGCAGTGCCATCTAGTGTTGAATTTGTCGGAAGATTTTAAAAATTGTAGATGCCTTATTGTACGTGGTTCTATCTTTAACATTCCATCGGAAATTCGCGATTAGTCTAGTAATTTCAATAGCACTATAAAAGTCTAGCGTGTTGGCCGTACGGGACAGTATTGTTTTACGGCACAGGGAATTAACATCGTAGCGAATTTCTAGTGCGACTAACGGGTTATATAGTGATTTGTTGTTTGTAATAGTGTGATTGTAAATAAAATGCAATAAAAGTATTTTACTACTTTTTTTATTGTTACAATGCTGCTCTAACAATAGTAATTTCTAACATATCATAATTTATTTATTATAAAAAAAAACAAGTAAAATAGTAAAAGTTAAGAGTAAAAAGTAAAAGTTAACATTTTACTTAATAATATCATTCGTACCATTTTCTGCTGCGTAATATAATATTTGCTTTCTGCGATCATGAAATTAATTATGATGCAAGAGTGCGAATTTAATAAGTGTATCAATGTTTTCTGTCATTATAGAAACTCTGAGACACTTTCCACCAATGGGCTGGTTGGATCGCGTTGCTACAAAAGATTATCAAATCGACGAAAATCTGACTATTCCCGCTGGGACCCCGGTCTACTTAAATGCCGTAGGCATGCAAGTAGACCCGCAGTACTTCCCTGACCCAATGGTGTTCAACCCTGATAGATTTTTGCCAGAAAATGAGCGGAACAATACGCCTTTTACATTTCTACCTTTCGGAGATGGACCGAGGGCTTGCATAGGTGAGTAACAATTTGTTTAAAGAAATTAACTTTTACATATTACATAACATACATATACATTATATTTATGTATGTATGTTTAATTATCTATGTATGTTTATATATGCATGTGTTATACCCCTGGACTTTAACCACGTTAAATTTACAAAATTTTTTTGCACGTACGGCATCATATTTCTACGCCACCTGAAAGTTTACTGGGAGAGAATTTCTCATAGCATTAAGTCCGCCTTTGCCCAACATGTGCATTCAGTTTTAAATCAATATTATTTAAACGACAACCTATTATATGCCAGATTTATTTATTTATTTATTTATTTTCTTTAAAAATTTATTTATAATGATTATAGCTAGTTAGTATCTAGCAAAAGAAAATTAGAGAGAGATAACCCGTCTCTCCATGATTTAATTACCGTTATTATATCGACACACCGTATCATTGTACGAACTTTAAATGTTAGAGATCGTATACATAAAGGCTTTTTAATAGTCAAGATATAGATTATATACAAAAGGGATTTTTTTAAAATAAGTTTGATTTTCGAACGCTAATAAATACTAAAAGTTGAATGAACTTTTATTGCGCGATGTAAAATCTTTAGTTACTACATAGTTCGACGTGTTTTCGTAAGATGCCGCTAAAGTAAAGGGAAATAAGTAGAAGTAATAAGTAGAAGGGGATGGGAAATTGAGGATAGTATCCAGAATTGTGTTAGCTGTTGTTACCTTAGCTGTTTGTTGTGACGTTGTTGACGTGTTTTCGTAAGATGCCGCTGAAGTATTTTAAATTGTAAACAAATTGTATATAGTCTCGTTATTTATTTTAATTGTGCTTTCAGGTATGCGATTCGCTTTCCATGTTCTGAGGCAGGCCTTGTCATCAATAATATACAATTTCGAGATACGAGTGGTGCCTGATACTCCTAAGCCCAACGAAGTCGAGGTGGAAAAAAAAGGAACGTTCTTCATGCCCATGGATGAAAGAATGGTCGTTCAGTTTGTGCCTAGAGAAAATTTACAAAGTTCTATGTGATATTTATTACCTTCCCATAAGTGCATTTACCTCCTTCTCTGCATGGCCCAATCGATCGACTGACAGGAAATGCCATAGCCATTAAGTCCGACCGATGTATGTAATTGTGCATTTAATCATAAATAAATTAAAATTAAAGCGTGATACTTATGTTTTTATTTCATTGTCCTATAAAATCCGTGTGGTGACAGAGTAAGAATACAGAGTGTCACCACCCCTATTCATCCCGTGGGTGTCTGGTGGTGGTATATTTTAACAACAAACACATACAAAAGATTGATGTGTGCAATGCAAAAACTCTAGTACGCAAGACAATAGACCCTGAGTCGCGGTATTCAAACAAGTACTAAAGTAATGTGTATGTATCGAGTGCATTATAAGAAATAGAAGTTTTGATTGCATAATATCATTTCCTTAATTCAACATAAAGTAACAACGTTACATTAAGGTTAGATAAGCGGAGAGATTATACTTTTTTTTTAAAGACAACTCCCGCACGAGGAATATATGATGTGTCGCGGGGGACTTTACAAACATACATGAAACGGACACAAAGAAAACCTAGACTCAGAACGACAATTTGTGGATCACACGAAGTGTCGTCCCATGTGAGGATCGAACTCACAACACTCAGCGTAGTAGGAAGCGGCGCGTGGCGACCGCTTAAACCACTACGTCATCCGTGCAGTTTTGCGGTACGTTAGTATTTTAATAAAAGTACATACTAGTAGCGTGTGAATACTAAGCACAGGTTATGAAATATTGTCATTAATTTAAGAGTTTTCTTACACAAAGCATGATGATTTTAGGATTAATATAGGCACATGTGGTAAAGGTCGCTAAAGGTCGCTAAAGGTCAAGGATCATTCCATCATCAGCTCAGCAATCTATAAAGCTATAGAAATAAGCTAAAACACGTTGTCGGGCATGTGGAATTTAAGGGTTTCCCTCGATTTCTCTAGGTCCTCATCATCAGATCCTGATTTGGTGCTAATAGGACCACCTCGTGAGTATACCTTTCATATACAAAACATGTACATATTTCCGTGTGGTGACGGATTAAGAATACAGAGTGTCACCACCCCTATTCATCCCGTGGGTGTCGTAAGAGGCGACTAAGGGAGCGAAATACGCAGGACACCAGCACTGCAGACAGAAGGAAAACTTGACACAAACCCTATACCAACCCGTATGGCCAGCGTGGTATAGTAGGCCAAAACCTCCTTTCTAAGGAGAGGCCTATGTCCAGCAGTGGACTGTTAAAGGCTGTTGATGATGATGATGATGATACAAAAAGAATTTTGAAAATCGGTCCACAATCAATTTATCAAATATATACAAAACAAATACAACCGAATTGATAACTTCAGGAGTTCTTAAGTACTCTCATCAGGACTAGGACAGAAATTTCACATCTTTGTAACATTTTTTTCTAATATCTAGAAGCTCTTAAAATCTCTGCATTAATGGGATGGTTGGATCGTGTTCCTGCAAAAGATTATCACGTCGATGAAAACCTGACTATTCCCGCTGGCACACAAGTCTATGTGAACTTTGGCTACACAAGTAGATCCAAAACACTTTCTAGACACCATTGTATTTAACCCAGACAGGTTTCTGCTAGAAAATGAAGGATAAATTAAGCCAGGACCTAGGATTTGCATAGGTGAGCTTTTAAAAGGATCTGAACTTTATTGCTTTAATTATTTTTATATTCATTAAAATTTATGCTATACTTAGATTTCAGATATCCAGAGTAAATTAAAATTGCTCTAAATATAGACTGCACGGATGGCGTAGTGGTTTAAGCGGACGCCACGCCGCTTACGCTGAGTGTTGTGGGTCCGATCCCCACATTTAACAACACTTTGTGTGATACACAAATTGTTGTTCTGAGTCTCGGTGTTCTTTGTGTCCGTTTCATGTATGTTTTTAAAGTCCCCAGCGATAGAGCATATATTCCTAATCCGGGAGTTGTCTTTTTTAAAGAAAAAAAATATAGGTAATGTAATATTTATCGAGTATACAGATTTCCGAACATAGTTTTATCGTTTGTTGATTAGTTTATCATTGATGATAACGAATCAAGAGTCATGTGATTTCAATGACAATAAATGTTCACTAAAACACCACGCTGCATTAGTTGTCTGTAAAACCTCATTGCAATCGAACAAACCTCGATTATCACACGGTTTTCCGACTTTCATGCCAATGCAATAAAATTTCTAGTACCGGTTGACATCGACATATTCTGTAATATTCTGACTAAGGGCCTAGAATCTAGGACATAGGAACTAGAACTTGAGAGAGTTCATCATCATCATCAACAGCCTTTACTAGTCTACTGCTGGACATAGGCCTCTCCTTAGGAAGGAGGTTTTGGCCTACTATACCACGCTGGCCAGACGGGTTGGTATAGGGGTTGTTTCAAGTTTTCCTTCTCTCTGCAGTGCTGTTGACCTGCGTAGTTTGCTTCCTTAGTCGCCTCTTACGACACCCATAGGATGAATAGGGGTGGTGACACTCTGTATTCTTAATCCGTCACCACACGGAACGGAGAGTTCAGACCATAAATAAATTAAGAATACGCTTCTCTTGGCCGTCACTCGTCTTCTTTTATATAATAGGTCTTTACCTATGAAATTGCCGTTTTGGTATGCAATAAGTGAAAGTAGTAAGTAATTACCCATGCAATCGACGCATCTTTGCTAACGCATTGGCAGTTTATTGATGCTTCTTGTAAAAATCAGCTGGACGGGAGGCAACAAACTCTTCAAAGGCATTTTGTATTGCCTCTCGGGAATTGAATTTTTTACCCACTAAAAAGTTGTCTAAATTTTGGAAAAAGTAATAGTCGGTAGGTGCAAGGTCTGGTGGTCACACCTGCAACCAGCTTTGGTCAATCGGTCATCCCCACTGCTCCTTCACGACAACGCGTGACCCCATACTGCGCAATAGACAGTCTCCAAGCTGCAAGAGCTGGGGTTGGAAACTCGCCCTCGCCATACTCACCAGACCTTGCACCTACCGACTATTACTTTTTCCAAAATACTCATAGGAATGAGTATCCGTGATGATAAAGTTGGCTCTGAGATGGTATGTGAGATGTCAGATGTGTGTATCGTATGCGAATACTGTTAGACGTTCCTTTTTTTACAATTACTATAAACTTTTATCAGATACTACGGAACCTTTGTGTCATCATCTTCATCATCAACAGCCTATAGTTCACTGTTGGACGTAGGCCTCTCATTAGTAAGGTGGTTTTAGCCCACTATACCACGCTGGCAAAACGGGTGGGTATAGGGTTTGTGTCAAGTTTACCTTATCTTTGCAATGCTGTTGTCCTGTATAGTTTGCCCCCTTAGTCGGCTCTTACGACACCCACAGGATTGATAGTCACCACATCGATAGCCTTTGGGTGCGATTAACATTGATCATGCATGCTCTGGAATTAAATTGAAATTTGCAATTATTTTGATAATTTTTCTCTTTTCATTATTTCTTGAATATAAGTTATTTCTTGAATTTACAGTAAAAGCACAATTGGTTGTACGATTTCGAAGATTGACTCCGATTAATAATTCATTTAAAATCAATTTATCATTCAAAATGTTAATTATGTTCAAAATGTTAAGACTCCTCAGAGCTTAGTGTAGGCACACTAAGCTCTGAGGAGTCTGATGTATTATTTCATGGCATAGGAGGGCAGACGAACAGACGGGTCACCTGATGGTAAGTGACCACCTTCGCCCATGGACCCTACTATGGCAACTCAATAGTCATAAGTCGTTACTGCTTTTTGAGTCTTTCCCCAAAGGATCAAGAGAAAGAGGAGTTTGGACTCCAGTCGCCTCACTCACTCGGTGAAAAGCAACTCCGGTCGAGCTGGTCCATTTGTGAAGAAGCATGGCTCTCTCACGTGTATACACGTGTAGACAAGTACATAAATATTAATATCTAACGTGTATCTTCACTTATAAAGTATAGATAAATAAATTTATTAAAAAAAATATTGCAGTCTACGGCGTACTCGCTGATTGTACTATCGTTATAATGTTTTTCCTTAACTACACACTAATTTTCTGCGTAATTATTGGCTATTTGTATATAAAATGGCACAAAATGAAAACGTTTTGGACCAAGAAAGGCATAGCTCAATGTGAAGTACATCCCATATTTGGCAGTTTGACATTTTTGCAGAAAATTAACCCTGTAAGTACTTTATATAACACAATTAAGATTAAAATAATATCCTTACATGTGATGTAGGTAATTAGTATATTTTTTTTAAATGTGGTTATTTGTTTATTTTACCTTATTAAAGTAGAAGCCCAAATTTTATCTACAATTTTGCTCTTTTGAAAGCAATTTGTTTATCCGTTTGCTGCAGAAATCTGCTTGGCGGGATGCGATGAAGTCAGCAAACACCTTTTGTACTGCCTGTACTTTTTTCCCGCTTATTTTTTTTTCTAAATTTTGTATTAAGTAGAATGTTGGGGCAAGGTCTGGTGTGTACGGTGGGTGACGGAGAGCTTCCAGCTGTAACTTTTGTATAAATGCGATGGTCTGTTGTGAAGTGTGAACTCGCGCGTTGACGTCGAGAAGTAATGGGGAAGAGCGATTGACCGGACGTGGTGTTAATGTGTAAGCTTCTCTATAATTGTTTGCAATTCTCGGCAATAGACATCTGCCGTCACTGTTGTCCCGTACGTTAAGAAGCTGTGATGTACAAGTCCGGCACTGGTCCACCAGACAGGCACCAGACATCAACTTCCTATGGGTAATCCTTTTTAGCGCACAGATTAGGTGCTGTATCCGGGTCTACCCATTGAGTCGAATACTGACAGTTGTCGTACGTTACGGATTTAGTCGTGCTATGCATGCTTCGAAGCATAAGTATCGCTGATGGTCGCTTCGTGTGGCATTGGTCGCTTAGTTCGTGTGGCACCCACAACAGTTTTATCAGTCTGATTTGGTGCAAGCGCTTCAATGTTGTTTTAGACACTAACTTCAAAGCCCGCAGCAATCTTAGCCGTAGATTGAGTTAGATCTGCTTCCGCTATCGCCTTCAATTCGTCGTTGTCGACTATATAGGTACCGGCCGACAGCGAGGCTCGTTCTTAAACTTAAAATGGACCGTGTTTATGCAGGCAATGTTAGGCCCGTACACGTCATTTATGTTTTGTATTCGAAAATTTCACGAATTGACAATTTCACGTCACCATGTCGCCAAAAAATTCACAAAAAAAACTGTAGTGTAACAATGTCCGTCACGTACATTAAATACCATCATAAGTAAGATAAGATATGTAAGGAACTGATTAATATTAAGTTTTAATTATAAACACGTAGTAATTAGGTGTATAAACCTACTGTAAGTCAGGTTAAGAGAGGAGTAGTACAGCAAATCTCAACCTAAGAGCTTTGATTTTTATTTGCTCCTCCACCCAGACAGCAAAACACTATCTCAAACAAATGACTGAATTTTAAAATTAAATAACATGTTTTTTAAGCTATTGCATTGCTTCTATCGCGGGCCTTGAGCGTGGAGACCGAATCCGAAATTCCGTAACGAAAATAACCTAACACCCGCCACTCCGACCGGCACAGCGGTGATACTTTTTAGTTTTGCCATCTATCGATGAATAGCAGAACTTTTAATGACTTTTTGAAATAAAACGCTTGTCTCTTTAGGTGGCATTGGTTGTGACGCGGTATTTTCCAGATATTTAGAAGATATCAAGTCTCAAACTTATGTTTCTTATTTCAGTTACCATAAACCTATAGTTTCAATGATAAATATTCCTGAATAACCTACATGTATTGTAAGATGATACAAATATTTTGAACAATATTAACTTCACATTTATTTAATAAACAAAAATTTTTTTTTTCTTATCGGTCAGCACGCTCAAAAAGTGTAACTTGAATTAATATCAAAGAAAAAAAAACAAAGGAAAAAAATACTGCATAAATAAAATAAATAAATAATTAATAGGTCTTTACCTATGAAATTGCCACAGTACACATCTGCACTACTGCTTAGAAATTCAATTCAGCTTAAAAATTCAATTCCCGAGAGGCAGTACAAAATGCCTTTGAAGAGTTTGTTGCCTCCCGTCCAGCTGATTGTTACAATGTCATTTTTATGTAGTCGATTCTTTTGAGTTTAAACTACAGTTAGAGCATCTTTTTTTGCGCTTAAGTTTGTGCTACTCTGGAAGACAAATTGGTTATCTGTATTATTATATTATTAAGTAATATGTTAATACGGGATGGGTGGCGCTCCTTGGAGGAGGTCTTCGTTCAACAGATACAGCGACAGGCTGCTAATGATGATAAAGTAATATAAAATACATTTTCTATTCAAACAAATATGGCGCCTAGAAGGTTAAAATTAAAAAGTAAGGAACTTTAAAATTATGTAAAAACAGCTACAAAACATTATCTGAGTCCAGAATATATAACAATCCGTCATGATACAAAAGTCTATGTATCGACATCTCAAGTAATACTGGTCGAAGAAACATATTTGTATATAATACAACAGCAAAGTTTAGAAGTCAATGTAGATAACAATATTTTATTTACATAAAAATGAGTGATATTGGTTCGGTTCAAAGTGACAAGGTTAAAAAATACCCAAAACATGAACACAGTTAATTGCGTCATGCCATATACATAATTTTGAAAATGTATTTAAATACACTTTGGAGAGCCATCGAGAAGTGGGAGAGTCATATCAGCCTCCTTGAACAAAGTGATAGGTACCACACACTCACAGGTACTCTCATAGATATCCCGCGGGGACCTTCAGGAAAAGAGCGTACTCCTTCCTAAAAAGCCGGCAACGCGTTTGTGACTCTTGAGTTGCAGATGTTTATGGGCGGCGATAGTCACTTTCCAACAGGTGACCCCTTTAACATAAAAAAAAAAGACTTTCATCCTCATTACTTGGATAATTGGCTCTCCACCACTGTGTTCGAGAAACTTTTTACCTTCCACAACCAATCTGTGAAACAAAGTGTAATTTTCACTTGATAAAGTATTAATTCCCAAAAATAAATATCGTAAATACCTCGTTTATAAGAACTTATCTAACAAATCAAAAAAGTCAAAAGACTAATGAAATTTTTTTTTTCATTCCATGATATTTGTTTTTGAATTTCAGGGTCTGTGGATGGCAGATATCTATAATAAGTATCGCTGTCCTTACGTTGGTATTTGGGTATTCTGGCGACCCGGCTTAGTGGTCAATTGCCCTTCTATTGCTCGGAATATACTTCTCAAAGATTCGGACAACTTCAGGAACAGACTCCTCGGAACAGGAACAGCTGATAAACTGGGCACCCTGAACTTGTTTACTTGTAATGTAATAACTATTAAGAATTTTATGCTAGAAGTGCTTTTTATATAATAGCTTCTGTTCATTCTTTTTCTGTTAATTTTATATCACAACACAAAACACAGTTTTATCCATCTCAACACAGAACAAAATTGTGGTTCGTAAGTCATAAAATATAATATCATTAATTTCTGATCTCCTATGAAAAAATAAAAAGTAGGTGTCTTGTGGTAAAATTAAATTAATAAAAAAGACTTTTCTGTGTGGTGACGGATTAAGAAAACGGGGTATTGCCACCCCTATTCATCCCATGGGTGTCTTAAGAGCCCGCTAAGAGAGCTAAACCAAGCAGGACAACAGCATTTTACGAAATCGTCTGGCCAATAGTAGGCCAAAATCTCTTTCCTATGGAGGGGCTTGTGTTCAGCAGTAGATTATTTTAGGCTGTTGATGATGATTGATGAAAAAAAGACCTCAGATTTTATAAAAAACTATTGATTTAAATTATTTTTTTGTTATAGTTATTATACAACTAACTGTGATATTTATCTACAAATAGTTATTACGTATATATACAAGCAGAGCTGTCGAGGATTAAATTATGAAGTTTTCTTTAGTAGCTAACAGGTCAATAAACCATAGCTATTTAAAAAAAACACTTGGAGCTTGTATCCACAACTGCTACTCTGTCCGTCTGATTTTGAGTTTTTTAAATCGCCATGTCGTTGTATAACTGACTGGAAATTGTTTATCTACGGGAATAACTTGTTTGTAGTTTTACTCATAGTTTAAATGTACAATTCGCTTCACTTCTTAATCAAAGCCCCCGTTCGGCTCGAATTTTATCGGGTCTCTTTGATGGCCTTAGACAAAACCATATCTATTTTATAAAACAGAATGTCATGTAGCAATTAAAGTAACATTTCAATTAGTTCACCGATTTAAATCTCCGGATAAATTTAAGCATTGTAGAAGGATATTTCTGCGATTGTAAAATGACAATGTATTTTTCCAGGATCCTTTGTGGACTATAGTCCGCAAGAAGCTAACGTCTGTATTTACAGCGTCAAAACTAAGAGGTTGGGAAGATCTCTATAAGAGCAAATCGGCTGATCTAGTACAGAGAATCAAATCTGACAACGAAAATGGCATCACTAACAGTTTAAAGGTAATTCATTGTTCATCAAAATTAAATTACATTGTTCGAAGTTCGACACAGTAAACATCTGCTTTTATTGCCTGTACTGAGAAAGCTATAGTGAACAACACCATGAAGAGACCACTAAACAGTTACCATTGCCTTTTTATTGCTAAGCTTTGCCTTAGGGCACTGTTGAAGCGTTTGACCTGGGATCAGCCATTGCATTTTTCGCTTACGGTTATCGTAATCAATCAATGTTAAGCCATGCCGCTAATTCCTGGGTAGTTTGACTCGAATCAACTTTCACCATCTCCTTCAATTCACAATATTCACCTGTGTGGAGATCTTGGTTTGTTCATCAAGTAGAAGTTTCCATTACGAAAGCGTTTAAACCAAAAATGCACCGTACGTTCATTAGCAGTCTCCTCTCCAAACGCAGAGTTGATATTGCGAGCCGTTTCTCGTATTAAAAAATGACTCGGAATTCGAAGTATCCATCTTTCACATCTTAACTGAATATAAAAAAAAAACAATTGAAAGTCGAAAATCGAATGTTGCACATTTTTTAAAAGAAGGTATCATGTGAAAAAAGTTTCACACGATAATCTCACACCATGGCCACATGTCACACCAGGTTTTATGTCAATTCAAAATACCTATTACTATACAATGGCAATTTCATACTTTAACCCCTATTATTATAATTCGTTCTGCACAAAAAATATCTACTTCTCCTTTTCTGTTTTTTAAAGATTTTTTTAATAATATTATAAACAGGTTTGAATTTGTTATCAATTTCACAAATATTTGCTAAAATAATAAAGCTATAATATACTCGTAATTAAATGCATTAATCGTTAAAACCTACTGGGTTAGCAAAAGGTAGTTTGGATATTGTAGTCCTTAAGAAAGTTGTTACAACTTAATATGGCAGTGCACGTTTTTTACTATTTAAAATTGTTCCAATGGATCGAACACAGCTATCAGGTACTTATTTAATCAAAGTAACGAACACCATGGACATTGGTCATAGTCTAACCTGTGTGAAGTACGATCTAAGCGCATGCGCTGCATTAAACTTAATTATCATCCGATTAATGCTTATTTAAAGTTCATTTGTGTGTGTGTGTGTGTGTGTGTGTGTGTGTGTGTGTGTGTGTGTGTGTGTGTGCGTGAATGTCGAAAATATATTAGTTATTGGTGTTAATCTGATATTCCGCAGCCTTTGTTCGCTGATTATGCAACCGACATTATTGGAGAATCAGCGTTTGGTATCAAATGTGAAGCAACCAAACATAGCACGGGGCCACTTAGGGCAATGACTAAGGAATTCGAAAAGTATGACACCTTTCGGGGCATTCAGTGGTCGTCTATTTTCTTTTTTCCAGAACTGGCTGATTTTTTGAGGTAAATCACCACAGTTTACTTTAGAGTCACTGTAAAAAGCTTTGGACACGACAAATATGATGTTAAAGATACTCTCTCTCTAGTTATATCCCATTTAAGCCAGTTACCTAGTCAAAGTTGGGTTCGTTTGGGTAGGGTCAATTTTCTACCCAGGTAATCCATCAATTATATCCAAATAACGAGTAGCGCAAAAGTTTTCACCCGATGTCCTTGACTGTAATTTTTTTAATAAATAGCATTTTCCATTACTCATGACAAAACTTCCAGTGATAGGTTCCCACTTTCTTGACAAATAGTCTCTTTGAGGGCTTCAAGAGTCTGAGGCTTGTTGACATAGACTCGTGACTTTAAGAAACCCGAACCCGAAGAGCGAATTCTACTTAAGAATTTCGAAACAATTATTCCGCGTTCTTCAGGAATATATCGATTCATGTCTTATGCATCTGCAGTATTTTATGTATTTTTACCTCACAATTGTCAAAGCAGAACTAAGAGTTACGGCCTTTGCAAAAAATTGTGGTGATGGTGATGGAAATTGTGGTGGGGTGATGACTTTTGCGCCACCTAGTATAATATACAATACCAAACAAGAAAAATAAAAATAACCAAAGCAAACTTCCTAACTAAAATTTTACAGCCCTATTTCTCAATAATTTGTAAGAACATATTTAATGCAATATTATTAATAATATTGAGATAAAACTTCCTATTGTAAATATTCAGTTCTACACACTCTTAGATTCACATTCTGGCCAAAACATACGATGACGTACTTCAGAAAAGTATTTAGCATGATTGTGAAAGAACGTGGAGGATACGAGAAAGAGACAGATGGAAGGAGGGATCTTATGGATGCTCTATTAAAGATGAAACAAGACGCAATGAAGGAGAATCAAAGTAAGTATGTATATATAGGTTAGGTTAGTCCAAAAAAAGATCAGTCTTCTTTTTTCAACGCATACCCTTGAATTATATTTGAATGTTGTTAAAACACTTGTAAATAAAATTTCATACGCCTAGAACTTAAGCAACCCGTGCCGACCCGCATCGATATATCTCAGCACTTGTTATTACTTGCTTGTTTTGATAGTAGACGCATTTGCGTTCAGTTTAAATAGCATTATACAGTTAAAAAAGGGATATTTTAGTAGGGGATGTAAAATAAATTTACCCTCTAATGGATAAGTTCAGTTCTATAATATTCGTGAAGTTAATTAAGTGTCAATGAAAGTGTTAATCTATTTGTGAGTGCATTCGTCATTAGGAAAAGGAGCGTATATTGACTAAAGCTTTACCTAACTAAATTAAAAAACTCGCTTCGTTATACTAAGTTTGGGTGATTTACAAAAAAATACGAACAAAACATTCGAGAAGCGTCAACAAGAGTTTGTTACAAACATTGACAATTTGTTTGACGTTACACATACCGATGCACTTCAACTAATAAAGATAACTGAAGGTAGGCTCTTCTTGTAGCATCAGAGAGAGCCAGGCAGACCTGGTCAATTAGCTGGAGTGAACAGAAAGTTAAAAGACAAAGAGGGAAAAGTACACCTTTGATACATCGAGGAACAAAAACGTGGGGCTAATTATTATGCATCTCTGACTGCTTCGACGTCATCTTATTAAGAAAATTCATCTTCTGTTTCTGAAGTTATAGTAATCTATTAGACCAGACCAGACCAGACTGCTAATAATCTAATGATTAACAAGACAATTCAGGCACCTCAACCGAGAGTCCTATATTAGTAACACTCCAATGAAAAAGTTTCTTAACACTCCAAAGTTGGTAGCAGATTTAGATATGTGTTAGTTAAGTATAAACACAGACTATGTTTGTTATTGTGTCAATAGTAACCTAATGAAGCACTTACACTCAACACAACAAATTTCCCATAAGCAAGTACTCCATTCAATGATTTCGTACGGAAAAACATCAATTTGTAAAAAAATTAGACCAAGAAATAAAAATAGTTTATAAGTTTTCAAGGGAAACTACACAATATACGCTAAGAAGCATCCCCGCCAAAGTCATCTAGTTCTTTTTTGTGTTTTGTAAAAGTCCGTGTTTCATATCAGCACTATATATTAAGTCTTCTTCATTTGATTATTTATAATGTGGATCACCACTCTACTTCGGTACATAACGCCCGGCTCGACTTGAGTCATCACGGCCTATCTTAGCCTCATAAAAACAATTTGAGTTGAAGGTGTTTGCTGTCTGCTGCACTCTGCTCTTTTATCCTTTATTTCATAATAGTACGTATATATCATTGTATTTTTTTCCTTTTTTTCAGATTTGGATGAAGTGGTAGTAATTTCAAACGCTATGATTTTCCTGCAAGGTGGTTACGATACTACTGCTACTACGTTGACTTATATCATTTACGAGCTGGCCCATCATCCTCAATATCAAGTGAGGATATGTAAATTTTAATTTACTCTTTTTTTTTTTGACTTTAACCAAATGGTGATTATACTTACATGAATAACTATTTCTCTGAAGTAGCTTGGCCAATTATGTCTTTATTTAACTGATAATTTTCTTTTATAAAATATGCGCCTTGTACATTAATTTTAAAAATCTAAATGGGATCATGCTCGGGTATGGTACAATCATCTGGAACACATTTCAATGTTATGTCCTTTTTCTGTTGGGATCGAAACAAAATTGGTACGAGTTAGTTTCCAGTTTACTTATTTACAACAAAATAATTTTTTAAATGATAAGAATAATATTTCTAATAATAATAATTTAACACATCTTACACCTGACAGTATGATCCCAAACTAGTCAGAGCCTGTATTAATGTAACCAGACTGCTTTTAACCGTACTTGTATATTTCTAAATACTTACAAATTATAGATAAATAACACCGAGGCACAAAACAATAAAGTGTTAGTTTTTCACATAAATGCACTTTTACAGCAAAAGGTTTATGAAGAACTAATAGAAGCAAAAAGCAACAATGATGACAAAGAGCTCAAAGAAAGTGATTTAGGACAGCTTCCATACTTCAATGCAGTTATAAAAGGTGCGTTTTCCTGATCGATGGATGAACATTGTAGACAGTTGCAACCAAAGACATGAAGCAAGACTCGTTTATAATTCGTAGAACGTGCCGTTCTAAACAATGTAATGCTAGCCTAGCTAGCCTAGCTAATTAATTAAAATGATTGTATGGCACCGGTTATGGACACACGATTTTCAAAGGTGTCTACAATCAGTTCACCTACTATGCGTACGCCCAAGCATAGCTTTCCTATGGCACTATTCTATGGGGAAATAGTACAGATTCATCAACTGTATCTACTCTACAAAAAAAGCTAATCCGAATAATAACCAGTAGAAAAAACCTACAGTTGCAAACCACATTTCCAAAAACATAAATCTGCAAATTTGTTCGAAAATATTGGGGGTATAATAATAAGATAAAATTTACTGTTGTAAATATTCAGTTTTACACACTTACATTCACTACTAGGCATACTATGACGTACTTCAGAAAAGTATTTAGCATGATAGTGAAAAACACAAACTATTAATCCTTACCTGCCTGTACATATTCGTAATCTAGAAATTTGTTCGAAAATACCCCTCCATACTATACCACTCGTAAATACATCCAAACAAAATATTCTTTAAGACACAATTTTTTTTCTTCGTTTTTTAAAAAGACAACGCCCAATTTTGGAAATTTACGTCGAGTCTTCTCATCGTTGATTCCTTTTTCTTCTTTTTATTATAAGACAACTCCCGCATTAGGCAAATATCCTGTTTCGGGGACACAAACACTCAGACACTTTGTAAATCACACAAAGTGTCGTCTCATGTGGGGATTGAACCCACAACACTTGGCGTAGTAGGAAGCGGCATGGCGACCGCCTTAACCACTACGCAATCCGTGCAGTCACAATAATAGACTAAATCCACCTACATGCCGACTGAAAATACCATACCTATCATTCTTTGTTTTTTTAAGATATTAAATATTACTGCTTGTTATGATTATCTTTATAAGCTTGATTTATCTCGTACTTAGTTTGGATGCAGTCAAAGCAGTTGTATTTCAGATTATTATCTGTACAAATTTTTATTCATGTATACTTCGGATTTATGTAATGACCAAATTCTCTTTAGTTTCGTATGTATATAATTCCTCTCGTCTTTTAGCTATAACTAACACTTATTAAGATAACAAATTGGCTCTCTACTTTTTCAGAGACTTTGAGGAAATATCCAGCCATGGGTTGGCTAGATCGCATTGCTTTGAAGGAGTACCAGGTCGATCAACATCTGACGATACCAGCTGGAACTGTTGTCTATATCAACATTAATGGCATGCAACAAGATCCTACATTGTTCCCCGATCCTACAACGTTCAAACCTGAAAGATTCCTGCCCGAAAATGTGAAAAATATCAAGCCATACACATACATGCCTTTTGGAGAGGGACCAAGATCTTGTATAGGTTTGTTCGAATTTACATTGCAATTTACAGCTACGGAATAGTGATGATTTAAGAGTTTGCCATCCATTCCAAAAGCTCAGTTCGTCGTCGTCTCTCCTCCACCGCCTTCTTCTGCGCGAAAACGTCTTCGCAGAAGGATGCGACCGCAGTGAAACATACGTCACTATCGGCCATGAAACGTATGACGGCCTGTAGCGAGAAATCCCCTCCGATGACAAGCCGGGCAAATTGCCAGCGTGTGCTGAGTCGAGTAAGGTTACTGCAATCGCAGTGGCGACAGGCGGGCCACAATTCTCTCCTGGCAACCGAGTGCAGGTGCTTCCCTAAGCAGCCGTGCCCGGAAAGGACCTGCGTCAGTCGGAAGGAAAGGGTTCCCTGCTGCCACCCTGCCCACTCGATGATAATCGGAAGCTCATCGTAGAGCCACCTTCCTTCGAGGATCAGACTCAGATATTTCATCTGGGCCTGAAACGGTACGAGGACAAAGTTGACCACGATTGAGGCGCCGGGTGGCGAACCACGATGGGGCCCACGGAATAAGAGGGCCTCCGTTTTGTCCAGGGCCACCCGTAAGTCAAGTGCCTCATGCACCCAACCACCAGAGAGACTCCTCTGGTGGCCAGGTGCGCGGCCCCTTCAAAATTCACCCCCCGGGTTGTGACTAGGGTGTCATCAGGTTAACAGATTACGCCTGGGCCGGGGGAAAGCGACGTTCCAGTCGTACCCTATGTTCCACAGTAGTGGTCCGAGAACAGACCTCTGCGAAACACCGCACGACACGGGCCGGCTTTTGGCACCACCAGTAGACCTCCTTCCTAAGAGGTCGACGACCTCGGATACGGAAGTCGCCACACCACACTAACAATATTAGAATTTAAAAAACAAAGCATGTTTAAAAAAATCGTCAGTAATATTATCAATCCTCTAATTGCCTACTGACAAATAGTTTTGTATAATATACCGTGTAAAGCACCGAAATTATTTGTTACGTAAGACAATGTTTACGTACGTAAAACTCAACTTCATAAAAAATCCGGACCTTAGTCAATTCCATACTTTGAACATGTAACATACAATACGCTATGCATTGCCTTGAATTTTATCTTCGGGTGAAAACTGGCTAAAGGCAAAACGGCATTAAAACTATTATGCGATCCTGAGTTTTGTATAATTATTATGTTTAGTATTCCATTCTTATCGAACTAAATAACGTATTTGGTTTCAGGTAAGCGGTTCGGTATGTTTAGCTTAAGCTTTGCTCTTGCGGCCTTAATCAGCAACTTCATACTGAAACCTTTACCTAACGCACCAGCGCCGAATGATGCAGCGATTGATAATAAGGGAATGTTCTACTCCCCCGGTGAAGCGCTTTCAGTCCAGTTCATATCGAGGAACTAAAATGAAAAATTAAAGATCATCTCTCAATTTTTACTTACTAAAGACGTATATATAAAATACGTCTTTACTGGATTTCTTCGACGTAAGATTTTCCTCACAATCAAATAAGGAAAATTGTTATCGTAAAAATAAAATTAAATTAAAGTATGTATTTGTAATATTGTAAAAAATAGCTTTTACTGACTGTGTGCGCGATATTTATACCAAAGATTTTTATTTTTTTCGTCTGTCTATCTGTATTATTATTTTGGATAATCTCCGAAATAAGTATACTGATTAAGAAAACGAAAAAAGTTAGTTGAATTAAGAAATAAAAAAGCTTAATGATTTACGTCTGCGATAGGACTTGGTTAACAACAACTTATAAAAAAAATAAAAGAATGAAAAAGTTATAAAAGCATCATCGTTCAATACTGTTAATTGAATTGCGTTAGGATTCTTTGGAATTGAATAAGTGACAAGAAATTAATTAATAAATGAATTTAATGGGTTTAATGGTACACTTTGCAATTGTTTTTTATTTGAACCCAGAAAGTGTACCCAATATTTTAAATTCTGTTTTTTATCGTGAGACCCACGATTGGCCACACACTGACCGGTGCAACCGGAGTAGTACCACGGTTTCACAGAAAATTGATGTTAAGCATTTCTTTCGTTGCTTTTCACCGAGTGACTGAGGTTACGGAAGGCCCAATTCCCCTAATTCTGAGGGGAGGCGACGGGGAGGACTCGGGTCTCTTGCGTTAAAGGTATGCTTGGGCGACGGTAGTTACTTAACATTAGGTGACCGTCTACGCGTCTGTTTGTTTGCCTGTTATACCAAACAAAATAGGTTGCTCGCCTGTGTCTTCGTTCACCAAAACCTGTTGTAATAAATTATCTGTAAGACTATAATCATAACATCATCACATCATCAGCCTATCCACTGCTGGACATAGATCTCTCTCACTGCACGCCACTTAGATCGATTGTCGGCTTCTCGCATCCAGCTCCTGCCAGCCATCTCGTCAATCCACCTGGCTTATGGGCATCCTACAGTACGTTTGCCTTGCCTTTGCGCGGTCTCCACTCAAGAACTCGTTTACCCTAACGGTTGTTGGTTCTGCGTCTAATGTGGCCAGCCCACAGCCACTTCAGCTTGCTAATCCGAAGTGCTATATCAATGACCTTGGTTCTATGCCAGATCACTTAATTTCTGATGCGATCTCTTAGAGAAACCCGACATAAAAAGTAATACATATACAGAATTAGAATAGTTTTAGAATAGAAACATATATTTTTTCTTGTGACTATAAAGATGAATGACACTAGGTGAAAATGCACAAAGCAACGATAGGCAACCGTTAGATTGATATGTCTTGGCATAATAAAGGCTGGCTCGATAGGTGTGATATCACGGCCTCACAGAAAACCGGTCTTCTTTTGTTTGAAAGTGGATCAAGTGAAAAGGATTCGCGGAGGCCCCAATTACGTATTCCCCTTAAGAATCTCTGATCTTGAGGGAGTTGGGACCTTCTTACTCCAGCTTAATGGTCGCCCATTGATCAGACAGCCTAAGACTCTCAGCGCCTTCCTTGTTAGGGTATCCCGGGACCCCTGCAATAAACGGTTCGAGTCTCTGATGACGTGAGGGGGCTTTCACACGAAAGCAAAAACATTAATCTTACCAAGATAAATATTCATCTAACTACGGGAAATTATTAGTGAATATTCTTATTAATTACACTTAATATACGGTATTTGCTTGCTTTTTTAACAAACTCTTAGCGAATACAGTTTTCAATTTAAAGATATTTTATTTCAAAATAATTATGTTGATAATAAAACATAAAGCAAAAGCTGATATTTGTTATCAATTCACAATTGTGGACTTATTCTGGGATCTCGGGATTTTCATTAAATAATCCCGGGATTAGAAAAAGGCGATGAATTTGTAATCCTTTACGATGACGAATATTTTGTTTTATAACTTTGTAATTTTATTATATTTTAAAATGTTCTTTAAAGATTTTACATCATCAAGAATAAATTAAGAAATTGAAAGAAAGAATGAAGGAATGTTGCTAATTCCAAATTTGTAGGTGTATTTGTAAATGAAGTTTACGATACCAATCGTCTATTTCTGTAATTTCAATGCTTGCTAAAGCAGTTACGCCCAAGTTTTGATAAAATAAAGTTTGAATATTTGAAAACAAGTTACTTAAACCTACTAGAAATAATATTTTTGAAATAAATATCTGTAAGGGCAGAATCGCATTCGGCAATTTGTTACTGAATAAAACATAATTTTGGCTGATTAAATATTACTTGTTTTATTTTTTCACGTCTAGAAAATTCCATCGGAAGTAACTCTAACCTCTTTTTTTTATGTTAAAGGGGGCAGACGAGCAGGCGGGTAACCTGATGGAAAGTGACCATCGCCCCCCATGAACGTTTGCAACTCAGGAGTCACAAACGCGTTGCCGGGCCTTTAGGATGTAGTACGCTCTTTTCTTCCAGGTTTGAAGTTCGTATCGGTCCGGAAATACCGCAGACGATAACCCGTTCCACAGATTGGTTGTGCGGGGTGTAATTTAGATAGAAAATGCTAAGCATATTTAACAGTCGACTTCAATCTCATTACACATCTTTAGCCAGCCTCGCCGGCTCCTTGGACCTGCTTTTGACCTTTCTAGGTAACCCTGTCCATCGCATTTGGCCAAGCCCTAACCATTTCAAGGCAGATTCGAGAAGACATGTGTTACTTATTTTGGTCTTTTTCAGATTAGTTTATAATCTTTCATTAAATGTCCTAGATGATAAAAATAACTTCAGACATCTCCAACGTCTCAACGTCAACGTCCAAAATAAAGTTTTGAATCATCATCAACAGCCTTTACTAGTCCACTGCTGGACATAGGCCTCTCCTTAGAAAGGAGGTAGGAGGAGGGAAGTTTTTAATGATTTGGCCAATTTAGAAACTATTTATTTAGGACAATATTTCTCAATATAAATAATTTCACACATCTCACACTCGGTAGTCTGATCCCAAACTAGGCAAAGCAGTCTGGTCCCCATAGTTCAGCTATGGGGACCAGACTTCTGATAAACATACGTATATATTTCTAAATACATACATATTATAGATAATTACACCCAGACACAAAACAAATAATCATACTCTTATATAGAGTGTATGTCATGTACACTAATATTTGTCCTGGATGGGAATCGAACCTACGACCTCTAGCTTAGCAATCAGGATCAAATATATATCGAACTTGGTCAATAAAAATTACTTATATTTTGTATAGTACTAGTTTGACTGCACGGAGGGCGTAGTGGTTTAAACGGTCACCTCGCCGCTTACTACTACACTGAGTGTTGTGGGTCCGATCCCCACATGGGATGACGCTTTGTGTGATCCACAAGTTGTTGTTCTGAGTCTAGCTGTTCTTTGTGTTCGTTTCATGTATGTTTGTAAAGTCCGCCGCGACACAGGATATGTTCCTAAAGCGGGCGTTGTCTTTTTAAAAAATCAATAAAAAAAGAGCTTCACTTTCTCGCAGAACTAAACACTACAGGTTGTTAAATCGATACAAATAAATAAAATTAAAGTGTCTGTTTGTAATATTAAAGTAACCGCTTTTTACTAAATGCATATGTATGTTTACACGGAACATATGCCAAAATAACATTTTTTCCCATTTTTGTCTGTCTGTCTGTCTGTTTGTTCCGGGTAATCTCTGTAACAGCTGGACCGATTTCGACGGGACTTTCACTGGCAGAGCTACTTTTTTTGACGGCGTTGCCTTTAACAACAAACGCGGGTAACGCCGCGGGTCTCAGCTAGTATATAATAGAATGCCGCATTCTCTTAACCTAATCCAATTAAACCCTAACACCCAGTATTGCGTATGAAAGCATAAAACTAATTTCCGTCGTCAGACGAGATTACAGACTCCGGTCATCTTTAAATAAAAAATAAAAAAGATATTTCACAGGCAGGTTCTGCCTTGTAATAATATAAATATCACTTGAATGGAGAGCTGAGTTTTTACAACAAATTGTTTACATTTTGATGTAAAATAAATAGGAATAAAATATCATTCCCGAAGATTTATTTCTTTATAGACCCAAAGTTAGCAAGCCAACATAAAGGTAAAAAATATATTTAAGTATTAAAAATAACGTTTGGTTGACCCTGATATTTACTTTTACCTAATAATATCTACTTAGTTTCAAAATACTTACTTTCTTCTCATATCGATATAAATATTAACGTGTCACTAAAAATCTATAATTATACCTATATAAAAATGTTAAGTTAGTTACTTTTATTGATAAAAGAAAATGTAATGACAAAAATGCATTTTAGACACTATAGCACAAGAACAGGATTTAAGAACATTTTTAACTTAGCTCCTTAATCTGAAGGATTCTTATCTTATGGAAAATTTATTTTTGTTTCTAAAGATTTTTTTTTTGTTAGAAAACACAAGTCCCGCATTAGGAATAAATCCTATGTCGCGGGTACTTTACAAACATACATGAAACGGACACAAAGAACACCCAGACTCAGAACAACAATTTGTGGATAACACAAAGTGTCGTCCCATGTGGGGTTTGAACCCACAACACTCGGCGTAGTAGGAAGCGGCGTGGCGACCGCTTAAACCACTACGCCATTCGGGCAGTCGAGAGGTTTCTAAGTAATTATAGAATAGGCTTGTTGTCGGAAAAGTCTTTAAGAGTTTACTGACCGCAATAAAAAAAATAACCTGGTACACATAGTAAAAAATATAGTAGCGAACTAAAGGTTCACGAGGATCAGAAATAAACCAAAGAATGCTCTATTAATCTGTCTGTAAAGTTAATAATGTGTACTTAGATGCACATTAATAACTTTACAGACATTTCTATTAGTATAATGGCTTTCGAAACCGAAAATCATAATCATAAGCTCCCCGAGACGCGACATATATTCTAGGTCTAAGGATCCTCTCACCCGTGATCTGACA